GGCTCTCTCACCGGGTCTTGTCTACGACATCTCAACCGAGGAATACATTAGGTTCTTGTGCTCTCTAGACTACACAGCAGATCACATTGTGGCGATTGTGAAGCGGCCTAGCGTTGACTGCTCAAAGAAATTCGCTGATCCTGGTCAGCTCAACTACCCGAGTTTCTCGGTCGTGTTTGGGGGGAAAAGGGTTGTGCGATACACCCGGGAGGTAACCAATGTGGGTGCAGCGAGCTCGGTTTACAAGGTGATGGTTAACGGGGCAGCCAGTGTTGGGATCTCGGTTAAACCGTCAAAGCTTGTGTTTAGGAGAGTGGGAGAGAAGAAGAGGTACACGGTCACGTTTGTTAGCAAGAAGGGAGTGAGTTTGACGAACAAGGCTGAGTATGGATCCATCACTTGGAGCAATCCGCAACACGAAGTGAGAAGTCCCGTGGCATTCTCTTGGAACCGGTTCTGATAAAAACAACAAAACAGAAATCTGACATCTATAGTGATGTTTTCTATTTAAAACTTATTTACTGTTGGGAGGAGAGGGGATTTGGGTTTCTAGATGATTGGGTTTAGGCTAAACCAGAACCCATCCTCAGCCAGAAGCAGAGTGGAAAGCGTTCTTGTTTGGTTTGAGTGCGTAGGTAAAAGCATCCTAAAAAGGTCGGGATGGGTAGAAGACAATGTTGTCACGGTGATGTTATATGTATTGCTTCTGGTTTTCCATTTAACTAGACATCGATGTAATAGTCTGTTTGAAGTAAGCAACAAGAACATCACTCAAGAGTCTAGACAATGTGGAGAACATGCGTACAATAAATGATCACGTGAAGCTAACATGTATGATGAGTGATGACGTCCTAGTATACAAGTAATAAGTCTTAACGGTTGCAACTTCGATGTTGAGAGAAATGCGGAAAAAAACATATAGTGAATATTAATCTAAAAGACAATCAAGTTGACGCAATTGGATGATTTGTTACCAGAGAGGCCACCTATCTCTAATCATAGAGCACACAACTCTTTAAAACTTGTTATTTCTTTAGTGATTCATTATTTTATTTTGTAGAAATTTTTAGTGTTCTAAGAGCAAGTCCAACAGGACTGAATTGACTGCAAATATTTTGTTTTAGTGTTTTGTGAACAATGTCACACTGTTTATCAACTAAAAAATAAATATCACTACAATAATTTTGTAGC